TACTAGACAATATTTGATACAAAGAAGCAATATCTTTAACATGCTATAGTTCTTGATTAAAAACAATTTTACTGTTTACAAGTTTATTTGCAAACATTTTCTTATCGGAGGTGCCACTGGCGATGAAGCTTAGTGAAATCGGTTTTTACGTAGTTGGTAAAAATACTTATGAATTGTAAACTACAAACACTTGTAAATACAAGTTTTTAGTGAAACAGGCCTCTGATAGCTGCTGCTAGCAAAAACGGCATGCGAATGTCCAATGAATAGGCTTCTTCCTCAAGCATTTATGTTCTAACATGGATCGCGATCTGAGAGCACCTACGTTGGTGACACATTCTGGCATGGTGGTCCCAGACCGATGCAGTCTGGAGAAACACGGACTGTTGTTGGTTCTCGTCTCCGTCCGTTGACCTGGCGTCACAGCTGTGAGTATATAGTCTCCGCCCGTTGACCTGGGGTCTCAGCTGTGTGTCCACCCGTTGACCTGGGGTCACAGCTGTGTATAGGTACCTGTACAATTGTGACGTCGCTGTGAGCTGTGCAACATGCTCGCTGATGTCGAAACCGCCGCCTGTCATCGGTCTGATCGATCCGACACACAGCTGCAGTGTCACTGACTGGTGGGTCACAGGTGACAGGGGTCACGGTCACGCCTGTCCGTAACGTCCGCGAGACGCTTGGCGTAACGATGTTCGTCACGGGAACGTGTTGACGACCCAGGCACTGAGTCACGGCGGTCTGTGGCGGGCTCAGACGGGCAGCACACCTGGGATAAAGGGAGAGAATGACAGGTCATACAACGGCTGTGGGGCCACCTGCCATTGATACGGTACCCCAGGCTTTATGTTCTAGATCGAATGATTCGCATCGGAAAACTGTAAACCTGCTGCCGATGCTGTTCGGATGGGATGCTCGCGAAAAGCGATTACGTAACGAGCTCTGTGTGACCCGTGCTCCAAATTATTGAAGCCAAATAAGTGGTGCTGGTGCTGTAATCTCCAAGCCTCAGGCCTTCGCATGTTATGCTCCAGATAGATTGTTTAGCTATGCCTACATTTCAGTGTGCGATACCTGAAGGTCCTGAAGGCACCTTCAATGGTGCTTCAGCATACGATAGATGGCGTCAAGGCCTTTTGCTGAGTGAAACAAACCACAATAAGGAATGGAATCGCTACGCTGAGGATTGTATAGTGGCGCAACCCTTCAATCTGGCACAGAGATGCACCATCCCGCCACAAGGCCACCTACCCGACCACGTTTTCCAACACACCGCTAATCGCCTACCACAGAGGCACCTTCCAGTACAGCGGCACTTCACGCTTCAAAAAAGCGCTTTGAAGTGTGAAACCTGTCCCCGTTTCCCCCGGGCTGGCGTGTCAGCCTCTCGGTCTCTGTCATCCCGGTGTCAACGGTGGCGTTTTTCTTCGGTCGGCGGTCACGCGGCTTGCCAGGCGGCCGAAGACGGGAGCGGGGGCGACGGGCCGTGTGCCAGAGAATGCCGTTTGGCAGCGGTGGGTCCCGTGGCTGCCTCTGACCGTGGCAGCGGCGACCGTGACGTGGCCCGGCGCCGGCTCCGAAATGGGCGCCGTCGGCGGCGGACGCTGGAGGTGGGACTGGGCTGCGCGCGCCTCATAACAAACCTTGGGGAATCGATCGCACCGAGACGGCCGGTGGCGGCTGCGACTGTGACCTAGAGCACTGGGGATCGGCGTCCGGCGTGGTCTACGGGGAGACGATGACGAACGACCGCTGGCCCGCTCTGGAGGCGGACGTGGAGTCCAGTCTGCTGTCCAGTCTCTCAGATAGTCTGACCAGTCTGGCTAGTCTCGGCAGCCTGGGCAATCTCAGGTGAGAGAAGCAGCGTGGAGCGGCTGGGGACCTCAAGGCTGGGGTCTGGGTTGGCGCCAACTTTGCCATAAGCATCTGAGTGTGATTTGCGAAATTCCGCCCGACATTCGAAAGCGGAGTTCCGCTCGGCGGAAGTCGGGAGTTCCGCCCGTCGCACTGCGGCGGAACGGTTCGTGCAGTCCAGTGGAGGTGGTCCATTGCGCAGTGACCTTGCATGTGGGGACACCGGGGATGCCTAGTTGTGCTTGCACTTGGTCATTGGGTCAATGTCATCTTGTACGTCATAGGAGATAAGAGTTGCATCCGCATCAACAATGGGCGTTCTATTATCTTGTTCGTCGATGTCTTGGACTGTTATCTTATATAATCATGACCTGCTCCACTCCAGCCTATGTTTACTTGGTCGAGTGTGCAAAGTTCATACTGGCAAGTGACATTGCCAGCATTAACAGGTCAGTAAAGACAAAATGAAGCCCTTGTTAATTGTTCAGTGCCGATGCGTCTTCTCTCTATCCGAGCCTTATCCCTGAATAAATGGTCCATCCGGTTAAATCCTACGTGAGATGCTGACCCTGAGGTGACTTGCCCCACTCCGTCGCTACAAAGACGTGCTCTTCAATGACCCGGACCGACGAATGGTTCTGGAAATATCCAGAAGGACCATTGACCTGAGCGGGGCTTCGCGCCGCCCTGCTGTCGTGGACCCCGGGGGCTTTTCGGGTGGAAATTTCCACTCGTGGCAGCAGACTGCGGAGGCGGGTCTGGAGGGTGTTGTCCTCTTTCTTGGTGCTTCGTCAGCAGCGTCGCCTGGGTAACGCCCCCTCGCAACGACGCTGTAAAAGTGACACGTTGAAAAGAAGCAGATGTTGTAATTCGATTCCACATGTATTTATAGCGTTCGCGAAGGAAATGGCTTTTGCAATTGAACGAAAATACTTTCTTGAGCAAGTGGGCTGATATCAGTGCCAGCCGTATGTCTTAGATTGAAGTACCTATGTATTCAATATAATGACATGGTCTATATTGACTATTGCACTCCATCGATTTTTGAAAGGAAATTTGATTCTCATCAAGGCTAATTTTCCCCTTGATCGGCAACTTTCTTCGGTCTTCTATAAACTCAACCAGAAGAACTTGCCAGACCCTTCTGACAACTCGTCTGCCGCGTGTCATCTTTGGTGGTCTCTGAGTTCTGATAGCGGCGGCGGTAGCGACCAGCAACCTCCAACCCGGACCTGTTTTGCTGTGATCAGCATATCCTGTGTGACAGCCACGCACATGCCTCGTGCTCTGCTCAGGGTTTCGCTTCAAATTGAACGCCGCCGAAAGTCTTCGAGAATGTTTGGCCAGTCAGCCGCCCAAGATAGCTCAGCAGACGAACAATGAGCTCTTGAGAAGTTGCTAGGGGCGTTTTATCTCGCTGGTTTAAAGAAAAAGCACTTGGCGTCGGTTTAAAAAAGTATTGTTTGGCCATCTCTTCATATTGTCCGCGTTTTTGTGATTGAGGTCGTCTAGCTCTTTGTTTTAACTGGCGCTCATCGCGGGTATCAGGACAGACGTTTGAAATGTTGGAATGATGTAGGTTTAAAAGCTTGAAACTCGAATAGACAGTACCGAGAGGCGAGAACTGATGGATCCTTTCTAGTGCATATGCTACATGAAATTTTGTTTTAGATCGATACAATTAAGACATTACATTATGTTGATGTCGTACCTATTCACCGTGGTCTTTCAGACAAAAACAATATAAAATGACGTTGATTGATATGCTAATCAAAATGTTTGAACTTGCTTTACTTTGAACCCCAGAACCATCGTTGACAGGATTTCTTTCGAACTAGACAGGTTTTTATTTAGACGGGCGTGTCAGACTCACGAGTCACGTGGACGTGGTCGTGTCGCCAGAGCTCGCTAATTCGTCCATCAGTCGGAATGTTGGCTCTGGGTTGGGTTTGGATGGCAGAGGCGGCGGCGGTCCGGGGGAGGGCGGCGGCACCGTGGCCGATGTTTGGCCAGGGGCGCCGCCAGGTCCACCTCTCGCGGCGGCCTCACCGCGCACCGGTGTCGAGGCGGCGCGCAGGGGCCGGTTTCTGTTTACGTCTGCGCTGACACAGCGCGGCAGCGGCGGCGGCGGTGGCGGCGCGTCGCCCCTGCCGCCAAGGCCGAGTCGTCTGGCGAACAGCCGGCCGGCCGCCGCCGCCACCAGGCCACAGACCGGAGCTGCCGGCTGCGCACCGTCGAGTGACCGCTGCTGCTCCTCCACGAGGACTCATCCAGTGCGCAGACTGCGGGGCTGTGGAGTGCGCCGATCGGGTGACGGACCGCGCTGTGACCCTCTCCGCGTCCCTGTGTCATGGTGGGCTGGAGCGTACACCGCCGGCTGGACCGTATCCTCTGCGTGAGCTCGTGTCTGCTGGCCGCCCCCGCCCCCGCCCCCGCCTCAGAGGCCGCCATGGCGCGACCTGTCCGCACTGACGCGAGGTGAGAGCTCTACCAGCTGGAGCGTGCTGATTTTCAGCTGGCCGCTAAGCGCTGTTTTGTCGTCAGACCCAGTAACTGGCAGTGTCTGGCTATTGTGATGATTCTGGTCCTCATGCAACCAAACTCGTACTTATCTGCACCCTGGCATTTGTGTTTTCTCAGCCTTGCGACGTGCTATGATTTGTGACTGGGGCCATGGACGCTCAACCGCCGTCGAGACGCTGTGCTTGCCACGATAACGCCACGTCTCTCGGCTAATGGCCCGCGTCTCGTGCGCCCCGGGCCACGAGTTGATGGGAGTGCCGTCCATTGGCCTAGTTCTCGGCACGTTTTGCCGAGCGGCTGTTGCCTCACCAGGCCCACGTGGTGTGCGCAGTTCGGCCAGGGCCCCTGGTGGCACACCCAAGGTGTATAGGCGCCCAGACTGGCGAGCCTGGCTGGGTCGATCATAGGAGGGTGCGCCCGAAGCCAAAGGGTCGTTTGATGGGGCGGAAGTTGCCTGTGAACCCGCGTGAGTCGTCGCGTTGGCGCCGCGCTATTGATCCTGTGGATTAGTCCTTATAAGGTGGCGAAAGCCACACCCCATTTGCATTGTCCAGAACCTCGTGAATGATCTGTGTCCACAGATGTTTTTGTCGTTTTCTGACCGTGTTTTTCTTCTGTTGCAGTGCCTCACCCGGTGGCAGTTCGCTGGATAACAAGATCGAGCCGATCGACAACAAGATCGAACAAGCGATGGTGAGTAGAGAGCGGCCGGTTGCGGGGGTTCTGCGTCAGATTCGTTGGGGCGCTGCGCTTCGGTGACCGTGCGCGGCGTAACTGCGCAGTGCGGGCAGCAGATGGCGGGCGTGGGGTCCTGCTCCCCCAGGGCAGGGGCGCCGACTGGCCCCTGAACGCCTCAGGGGGCGGAGCCCACCCTCTGGCAGCCGTTCAGGAATTTGGCCGCAGGGCGTCGGATGTCATCGCCTGCCCTGGTCCGTCCTGAAAGACATGCACATAACGTCAGTCCTGAGGGCAGAGACGCATCGGTAAGGGGTCATTGGGGTCGTTTGGTCGATCGGTCAAACGGTGAACGTCTACTGCCTTCCGTTTCTTTCGATGTTGGTAAATATTGGTGACGAAGCGAAAACCCTCGTGTTATCCTGGCATGTGCTGCGTCTATCAATGAGAAAAAGGTCTCCATCCAGCGACCTACTTCTCAGTCTCAACAATCAGCCCCCTCATTTTCAGCTGCTGGGGACGCCCATGTGCCGGTGTCGTGCGGCCGGTGCCGTACCAGCCACGTGTTTCAATGGCGTCGAACCGGTGCCCTTCCTGCGGTCCCGGATGTGTCATGCACGAACCTCGCTGCACGCAGCCCAGGCCCGTCCTACCAGCCCCTCCCCCCCTCCCGGTCCACCCTTCCGAACCCAGGCCCAGGTAGCTGGGGAGGGGTGGGCGAGAGTCAATGAACAAGTCAGCTGAGCGACCCACGCTTCAGTCACGTGGTGTGTTGGCCAGCCACTCGGCGGACTGGGAGGAATCACGAAGGAGACACGTGATCGATGTCGGTGTTTGGCGGCTGTTGGGCTAAACACACGCGCCGACCACGTGGTGAAGCGGAGCCCGCGGCTAGGCATTGGCCAGGCCGCTGTCTTATTTGGTGGTGCGGGAGGTTGCGCCAGTTTTCGGCGAGGTTTTTGCTGACGACGCTCAGTGGGCTGGATGGATGGTGCAGAGATAACGACTTTGCTTATGGTGGGGTGTTAGGTACTTTGCATCAGAAAAATAGAATCTAAGTTTTGAAGGACTTTTGAAGGAAGGTTTATGGACTAAATAGCATGTCGCTGCTTCATCCTTCGGCGGTTTCAGTTTCGGAGCTGTCCTATGATCTCGTTCAGTGCATTTGACAAACCGTGAGATTTTTCGGAAGAAAGGCTGAATTTGCCAACGTTCACCAGGTTCAACTATTCATTTATCGCTAATCGGTGTCCATCACGAACGTACTTTGTTAATAAAAGGTGCCTTTATTATAAGCGAACCTGCAGTAAAAGTTGGGCATGTGGCTAGGTGACCCTATCTATGGAATCCGAGGCTAGACTCGCCACAAATTGGGCCCGCCTCTGTTTAATGTGCGGTGACCTTTGGCAATAGAAATACTTAGCCGGCCAAAAATGTTCATCAACCGTGCATCGTTGGGAACGTACCAAAGAATGTGACCTCCTGACTTCACTAAATGAATCTGGCTTCTCTTGAAGGCCACGTCGCGGCGATGACAGCTGCTGTTGCAGGGTTAGATAAGTGTCAGACCTGAGCCAGCGGCATAAGATGGAACCAGGCTTTCCATTCGACCGCATGGCAGAAACTGTTGACAAGTGAAAGAATTCCTTCAATTTTGTATACGGTGTTGAATGTTCTCAGCTTACTGTCAACATCAACATTGCACTGAGCCCGCCAACTCGACAGGTGCTTCTATGCGTCACACCCTTCCGACTTCCGTTTGTTACATCAAATTTTGTATGATTTAGCGTGTCTGCCGATTGAAAAAGAGATTCGTTTTGGAAGTGACTCGAGTAAAGACCGCTCTTTTTGTTTAGCTGCTCGGGTGCCTTAGCGAATTGGAGTAAGCGTCCCCAAAAAGATGAAGGGAGCCAAGGGAGCAATCAGTTCACACTACATGTCCAGATCATGAACTGAGCAGTAGCGAAGCCGGGTAGCGATGCACATGAAATTATTCATCATGTCATGATAATGTAAATTGTATATCCTCTCACAGCAGATCTTGCTGGGTGCAGATCCGACTGCCCTCAATGTTTGTGAGTTGTCAAACAAATTCAAGGGTAAATTTCATTATCGTCTTGCAAAATACAGCAGTTGAGATGTCGCAGAGCGCAGTTCTTTATATACATCTCAAGTGCGCTGTATACATATCTTTATCTCGCAATGACTGTTACAACCATTGCGCAGTTAATGACAGGTTTATCTGGAGCTCTTGCCAACAGTCGAAGCCAGACCCCTATCTTATCATAACATCGTGTTGATTGTTGAACGATGCGCACACGCCCGTCAAGGTCAAAGAGTCGTCAACCAAGCGTGCATGAGATATACCATGTCTCGTGCATGAGCACGTGCTGGCTAATTAGGCTGACTTTATCCCAGTCATGCCTATTGAGAATATACATAGAATCGGTTGGAACAGGGGCCTGGAAATTAAGAATTTGTGCGGGCTGCGATCAAAATGTCATCTGAATGAGGGCGGCGAATATTAAAACTCCACCAATAATTGGGCTCATGCCTGACGCCTCCGTGATCTAGACACTCTGTTGGCTGAGTAAAGGCCGATCGCCCACTGGTGGCAGTTCCTGCTCCTGGAACCACCCGCCACAGTGGGGTCACGACAGGGAAAAAAAACAAAGAAGAAAAAAAATTGTTGAGACCATGACCGATGGTCCGTCCCCTTCGCTGGCTCGTCTCTGACTGTCCTATATCCCGCGCTCCCCTCGTGCCTCCCGCCCCAGCCCGCCCGCTCCGCTTATCTCTCTCCCTCCCACCCTCCCTCCCTCTCCCTCGCTCTCTCCGGCATCTGTCTGCCCTCGCCCAACGCCTCTTAGCCGGGGGGCCGCTAAGTTGCCATTGGGCTCATGCCTGACGCCTCCGTGATCTAGACACTCTGTTGGCTGAGTAAAGGCCGATCGCCCACTGGTGGCAGTTCCTGCTCCTGGAACCACCCGCCAAACCCCGCCAAACGGAGCGACCACGCAATAGGCCACGTAGCTAATTGTACGCTCCTAAGAGCTTCCACAGCCACTCGTAGCCCTAGAGTTCGGGACCGGAACCATCCGGAGCGGTCTGCCCCCAAGGGCAGGAACCCGAGAGCTGGTCCAGCCCACTGTAAGCTCCCAAGAGCTCACAGCCACTCGCCATGCTCCCTTGGGGAGCTCGCGACAGGAAAACCCCCGTAGCAGTCTGCCCCCGGGGCAAGGAACTCCCAAGCTTAACCAGCCAACTGCAAGTTCCCAATTGAGCCCCCACGGCCACCTATCATACTCCCTTGAGCTGCGCCAGGAAACGCCCGTAGCGGTCTGCCCCGAGGGCATTAAGCTCCCAAGAGCTCGCGCAGTCAAGTGGAGAGCTCCCGAGAGCTGCCACGGCCACCCGTCATGTTCCCTAGCTCGCGCAGGGGAAAACACCCGAAGCGGCCTGTCCTTGAAGGCAGGAAGCCCCCGAGAGCTTGTTTAGCCAACTTTAAGCTCCCAAGAGCTCTCGCAAATCGCAGCCATCCGTGATGCTCTCTTGCGCTCCCTAGAGCTCGTGGCATGAAACATACGTAGCGGTCTGCCCCCCCCCCCCCCAGGGCAAGATGCTCTCAAGAGCTCGGAGCTCGCACAGCCCACTGTAAGCTCCCAAGAGCTCTCGTCAGTAACCCCAGAGCAATAAGCTCCCGAGAGCTCGCACGGGTACCCGTCATGCTCAATAGAGCTCCCGATGTGAACACTCTTAGCGGTCTGCCCCCAGCGGCAAGAGGCTTCTAAGAGCTCGCACACCCAACTGTAAGCTCCCAGGAGCTCTCGACGCTAGCCCCATAGAGGCTTCCCCGAGGGCAATAAGCTCCCAAGAGCCCGCACGGCCATCCGTCGGCTCCCAAGAGCTCTCGACAGTAACACCCGTATCCGTCTGCTCCCAAGGACAATAGGCTCCCGCCGGCTCGAGCAGTCGCTTGGCTCCTAAAGCTTCCAACAGTAGCGCCTATGCGGCCTGCCCCCAAGAGCAATAGCTCTGAAGAGTTTGCGCAGCCACCCGTCCGGCTCCAACGAGCTCTAGACATTGTCACCCAAGCGGTCTGCCCCCAAGGGCAAGAAGCTCTCGCGAGCTCGCGCCGCCACCTTCAAGGCTCCCAATAGCTCTCTAAAGTAGCACCCATAGCGGTCGCCCCCAAGGGCAATGAGCTCCCGAGAGCTCGCACAGTAACCCCTCAAGCTTCCTGGAGGTCGCGACAGAAACAATCGTAGCAGCTAGCCCCCAGGGCAAGAAGCTCCAAATAGCTCGCCCGGCCACCGGTCAGGCTCTCAAGAACTATCGACAACAGTGGCCTTGGCGGTCTGCACCAAGGGCAGTAGTACCCAATAGCTCGCGCAGCTCCCTTCGTCAGGCTCCCAGGAGCTCTCGACATCAGCGCCCGTAACGGTATGTCCCAGGGCAAGAGCACCCAAAAACTCGCACAGCCACCTGACAGCCCCCAAGAGCTCTCGACAGTAGAGTCACTAACGGTGTGCCCCCAAGGGCAATAAGCTCCCAAGAGCTGGCAAAGTCCCCTCGTCAGACTCCCAAGAGCTTCGACTGTAGCGTCCCTAACGGTGTGCCCCCAAGGGCCATAAGCTCCCAAGAGCTCGCACCGTCAACTATGATCTTCCAAGAACTCGCAAGCCCCCGTCATTCTCCCCCAGGCTGAAGGCTCCCGACAGTAGCATCCACGCGGTCTGCCCCCAGGGGCAATAAGCTCCCCAGAGCTTGCACAGCCCCAAGTTACAGTACAGCCCCAACGCCCGCACCGGTCAGATGACCGTATGGGTCGCCGGCAGATACAGATAGTCGGACGGGTCGCTCTGGCGCGTCCACACATCCGGAGCTCACACCCGCCGCGGCCCGCGGCCCGGTTGTGAAACGAAAGAATTGCTGGCACGCAGCCCGCCGAAAAAGGCAGCGCGTTACGCCCTCCTCGTCGACCCAGTGCCGGTCCCCGCGCCGCCGCGACACGGCGA